GAGAACAAAACGCTGGAGGACTGCAGCTGCATTGCAAGAGAGGTGAGAAAGGTGGGCTCCCACCAAGGTGATCAGGATGGGTCCCATCACCCTCAGCTAGCTGGCAGCTGTGAAAACCCCCCGGAGTCACAGAGCTGTTACCCTTTCGTAACTCTGACTCACTGAAGGTGACCAGGGCCAGGATACACACAGCTGCTGCCAGCTTTCCTCTATGTCTCACCTTTGCTCTACGGACTCAAGGGTAAACTATGTGTTTGGGGAAAATAAAAAGAATGGAGCCTTCTGAATCCCTAAAGGAACCTGGCAGGGAGATTGAGGGGCACAGACGGCCACATCCAAACTTCCCTGTAAACAAGTGATTTTGGAGAAGTAAAAATTTCCACAGTTTTATGTACAAGCCTGAAGGCGCTGGAAATCCCTAACTCATCCTGGTGGGGACATTAAAGGACTGCATGAAGCTACACAAAATCATTCAGAATTTCCCCAGAAATTTTGGCGCATGTAAAACTGTCACTTGGCAATTATGCGCTTTTTTTCATATGAAACCAGCTGCCAGATGAGAGTCTGTTGGCTGCTGTATTACTTGTGTTACATTTACAAAGCTATTTTATAAGGTGAAAGGCTGAAAAGCAGTTTGCAAACTCTAATTGATCTTGAAAGTATTTTTTATATCTGTGTCTATGGGATGTCCTGTAGAATGAGACACATTAAGTGTAACTGACAAATCATGTTCTTAATGTGCCACTGACCTCTTAATGCACTCTGAAGCTCTGGAGATAAAGCAAAGGTAGGACGGACTTAATAAGTGCTAAAAAGCCAGTTCAGTCATGACGGTAAGACTTGTCACCTTAAGAACTGATTAAACCTAGATGATTTGAATGAAGCAGAGATGGTTATAAATACTCTTCTGAATGCAAATGTGTTTCCAGTTCTGGATTTGAGCTATAGATTTGGGCGCTCTGCTTCAAAAGGGAAAGCAAAAGCTGCAGATTGTGTTATTTTTTGTAATTAAAATACATTTTTTGGGGGAAATATTGGTGATTCCATCATTGGGTAATTTTCTTTCTGATCAAGACTTTTTTTTTTTTTTTTTTTTTTTTTTCCAGGGCTCATTTGCTGAAAAATGAGCCTGGCCCAGGGCGACTCAACCACGTCCTGCTGCAGAGGAGAGCAGAGATGCCAGCTCAGAGAAGGTGGCAAGGGAGGTGAGGGTGAGCTGGCTGCAGAAGGAGGGAGTGGGTTCTGCTCTGCTGCTGGCAAGGCACCCGCAGAGGGTGTGGGAGCAGCCCTCAGACACCACTAAATGTACAGCTGCCCCAGCACAGAGTTTGGTCCAAAGCGTTTGCAGAGCCCAGAGCAAATACTCGGGTAGCTAAACCATGAGTGTCATGCTGTCAGGGCTGCCCAGTTCTGATACCTCCCAGTGTTTGCAAGGGTCAGATATATCCACACAGGCTGCAATCTCAGATGGCCAGTATAGCTACCCCACAGATGCCTTAGGAGCCTACATAGTTTCAGTAGATCCCTGACTTGTCCGTGGGCCACAGCACTGGAAGAAAAGCTCATCAGTAATACGTGCTCCTGTTTTATCTGCAGCAAGTCCCTTCACATCCCACCCTTTGCAGCAGCTTGTTTTCTGCAGGGCATTATCAGGAGTCAATAAAAAGTGATCTTGCTGCTCCCTGCTCCCCTCCATAGCGCTGGCGGCAGTGCCCGAAGCCCCTTCGGGTCGGGGGCTTAAAGAGTTCACAAGGGCAATGCAGGCTGTTGTGAGCCAGACAGTCAGAGTTTAATTCACTAATAGAGATACAAGCTAAACAGCCACAGATTTTCTGGGCACTTCTGTGCCTCTCCGAGCCTCTTCTGTGGCAGGGGGAGGCTGCGCTGCCTGCGAAGCATTCACCCAACTTTTCCAAGTGTGAAATGTGCAGCAAATAAAGGAACCAGGAGGCAAAAGAATGACAGCTGCTCTAGGACTGTTAGAGAGGCTCTTTTACAGGCGAATGAACCGTCAATTTGTAGTAAGACATTGTTTTCTAAACATAGCATAAAAACTGTTATCTTGCCTGGCTGGTCATTAGAAGAGAGATAATTATAGTCTCTGTGCGACAGCCGGGCCCAGAACAGGGGCTGCATTGTCCCAGGTCCCAGCTGAGCTCTAGCACAGGCACCCCAGCCCAGCGGTGGGACAAGGGGGTCCTTGTGCCCCGGCAAGTTCAAAAGAGGAATTGAAGTGCTCTAAGTAGGTGTTAAGCACCTATTTCTCTCTCTGGCCTTAAAAACTGCTCCACAGGAGAAAGATGAGGAGGGCAGACCTGTGACTGCTGTAGCTGCATCCTCCCTGACTTTATGTACAACACATACTAGGACTATTACTTTTCTCTCCTTAAAAACCAAAATCAAACCCTTTAGTTTTGCACGTTAGTTTTGTTTTGTTCTGTGTTTCTGTTTTCCAACACTGATCCATGGGACCTGTATGATGGGTGGGATTTCAGAAGCAAGGACATATCTGTTCAGCCCCGAACGGGAGGTCTAAACCTCAGCTGATGCTGCAGCAAGCTGGAGGAGTCCTGGTGGACTCAGTTTCAGGGGGCCAGAACATCCCCCAGGGCTGTCAGGAAATCCTGGATTATTGCTTTTCACCACCCACCCAGAGAAGGTGGTGCCTCCCCATCCCCTTGCAATGGGGCAACACGCACCTTCCTGCTCTGGCCCCGGCCCATGCCAGTCCCTCTGTGCAGGGAGCTCATGTCTATGAGTGCCACAGCATTTCTTTCTATGGATTTAGCCTCCAGACATTGGAGGAGGAATACAGCAGTAGCTGCAGGTAGTAAACTGAGATATCACTTTTATTGCTCATTTCCACCAGGTGCCCTAGATGACTTACCTATCATCATTTAGGAGACTTCTGGTAAAACGGAGAATTGAACATGTGTGTCCTGAGCTTCGGCTTAACATGTAAAGCCACTGGGCAGTATTTTCTGTCTAGAGCTTTATTTATGGCTCAGAGGTGAAAAGGAAAAAAGTTAAAAACTCTCCAGGCAGACCAGGTACAGTCAAGGCTTTGCTGCCACTGTTATGTAAACTTTAGGTTTATTTTTAGCAATGTTTTCTAAAGAGCAATAACCAGAAATAATAAATAATTCTGTTGTTTCACATGCGGTAATTAGCCTCTTTTCCCAGCTTATGTGTTCACACTGTGGCTCAGACAGCCACCTTTTAAATATATTCCAATTAATCAAGTTTGACAAAAGGGAGTGTAAAAATTAATTTTCTCCTACTTCTGTGAAAGTAAATAGCTGGGTGAAGAGGGAACACCTTTTTCATGTGTCCACTAAAGGAAAGACTTTGGTAGGATCTCATTATTATTAGGCACAAGAGAATCCACATGCGGTATCATCTTTCTTACATCCCCAGTGTGAGGAAACCTGGTTTAGTTAGTAAAGCTTCTTGGTTTAAACAGCCAGTGGTAAGTCACATGTAAGAACAGTACTAGGGAAAGAAGTGTATTACATAAAGTAGCGAGCAAGTTAAGAACATAACATTCCTACTGCAGGTGGAAACACAAAGCAATATTCAATTATATTGGCAGGATGGTCAAGGTTTCTTTTTTAAAAAAATATTTCTTGTGTTTTGAATAACATAAATACAGGAAGTCTCTTCTGTCATCCCAGTGAGAACAACCCCAGCAACACAAGGGATTAGATAAAATATACAAGCAGAATAAGTCTCTTTAAAATAAGATGCTAATTTAATATTGAAAAGTAATGTGCATGTGCAATGCATTTATTTTTGCTTGAGCTCTCTTTGCATCTCTGAAAAAGACCAGTCTTACAGCCATGACTTTCATTCAAGTGACGAACTGAAAAAAGTCTGAAGAACATGGTACTACAGATCCAGAAGAATATAGATATTCTCTGAGCATACTCAAATGCAAGGTGTTTTTAACTTTAGGATGTATATGATAAAGCACAAGCTATTAATATATATGACTCCATTTCTGTTCTCAGTCAAATGTATTTTTAAAGCTATCTAAACCACTTTTTCTCTATGAGTGCTTGCTTGGTTTTGGTATTTTATTTAAATTTTGGAGAGGTTAGAGGAGAAGGTGTGTACTCCAAGGAAGATCTGCCTCTCTAATCTGTAATTCTTTTTTTGCTCTGGATGTAGCGTACTTCACATAAACTCTAGGAACAAAATATTAACTAGGGTTGAAAGTTTGCTTGGGGCATTTGGTTCATGTTCATACTAGTCTGAGAGAACTCACATTTTGAAGAGACTTATCGAGACTCTAATCTCTCCGCAGAGAGCTGAACGGCTGTGGCAGGCTTGACAATGCTATTCATTTTTGGAACCTCACCAGCAAAACAAGCACTCAGCACAAAAGGATATATAGCGTCTGGCTACTGTAGTGTTCATACATCTATATCCATCTAGCAAGGGAGTTCACACCATATAAATACATATCACTGGAATAATACCATCTTCCATTCTGTATCTTGGAGATTAGTGTTCCCTGGTGTCAGGTAGTGCTAATTAATGCTACAACACACACCTTCCTATTGATCAAAGAGACAAAGTCTTGAAAGCAAAGCTGTTTTAAACCTAGGGAACAAGTTGCATTACCTATTACACACTATTTGAACAGTAAGCATATACATGTCTATTGGTGTGTGACTAATATACACCATTCTTTATCAAATAGTTAAGTGCTTGCTGTTCAGGCAGTGAGTATATGTGTCCACTTTAACAGTAGGGGTTTAATGCTTTTCTAAATACTTAATGAAGTATATATAATTTAAAGTACAATTTAATTCTACACCCATGTCTTCATCTTCTTATGTCTTTGATCTTATGCACACAGCTGGAATGCTAAACAAAAAATTATGTCCATACAGTTTGTTAGCAGTGAAAATATTTAACTATTATCAACAGTCACAAAAGCAACTCCCTCCTCTCCCCCATAAATAAATATAGCAGAGAAATTACATCAGAATTACCTTGCTTGAGGTGTGCAACTTTTTATTCCTTTTCTCCACACAGTATGAAAGTGTTATTTTTTCCAAGCTTTTCTGTACCCCAAACTCCAGCCAACATTATTCTACAGAAGGAGAGGCAGGCAGCAGAGGGAGGCCTGGACACCTTTTTTTCTTTCAGAGGAGCTAATCAAACATTCCCATCAAGCTCCCAGCTCTGTGAAAGGCACATTGCTCTCCCTCCCTCTGCTCCTCTCTCCCTCTGTCTCTCCCTCTCCCTCCCGCACACACAGACGTACAGAGCTCCTTACATTCATTTAGCAGCTGAATTAGGCGGTCCTACTTTAAATATATGTTCCCTCCCACATATTTTTGGTAGGGATCTCTATGCTCCTTTTGCACTAGCCTGTCAGATTTGTCAAGTTTTATTCTTTTGGGAAGCAAAGCTTTACTTGACTGGTGTTTTGGCTGACTTTTTTTCAGTCTCCCCATGCAGTTCAGCATGGCAGTGAAAGGACTACAACTAACAGCTGGGAGTAAACTACACAGCTCTAGAGACTATAAATACCAGATTAATTAGGTGTAAGTCATATTTAAAGAGGAAAAATAGCTTTTAAAGAGACAGGCTACGATGCCTTTTCTCATGTGAATAGCATCGTATTCCCTCAACAGTTTCCCTGAAGTCGGAGGATTAGTGACAGAGCAAGTCTGTGAGTGTGGGCACGGAGAGGCAGAAGTATGACACGAGGGTTAGCATGGGCTTCTTTCTGATGAAGCTGGGTGCAAGAGTTTAATAAAATGCTCTCAGAGACTTCTAAACTGGCAGTCATTAAGTGTGATCTGGCCAAATGAGATACACAAAATGTCTTTTTTTTTTTTTTTTTTTTAAAGTATCTGTACACAGATCTCCTAAAATTCTTGGGTAACTCTAAGCAGAAAATTTTATTGAGACTGTCAGGATCACAACATTTACAAGATTATCACAAAGAGAGCTGTTATCGTATTCCAGGATGCTGGAATGCAAACTATAATCTGCAATTCCACCTAGGTGTTCAGAAGTATACAGATGACATACATGAGTGAACATACACTGTTTTATCTCAGATCTTTATTGGTGAAAGAAAATTTAGTATAAATATAGGAGATAGAGTTTGAGAGACACATTGGAAAAACACATAGTTCCTGCCTGGTTTAAGGGAAAGTGATTACCTGTTATTTGTGAATTTTTACTCTAGTACTTATGGAAACTGTATAACAGCTCAGCATATTGATAAACAGTACAATATCAAAAGTTTATCGAGAAGTCTCAACTGTGTTACTAAGACATAATGATCCATAATTCATTTGATTCTCTTAATACAGAAGTTCAGGCTTGCCATGGTGATCCCTAGTGAGGCAGAATGCAGTGGACTGGCAGAAAGCCTCTCCAGACAGCAAATCTGTTAGCAGATCTACCTTGAAGATCTACTGGAAAAAAAAAAAAAAACAAACCCAAAACCCAAAGTCTTACTAATTCAAGGTAACATTTTCAGAATATCATCATCCTTTTCATAAGGCTCTGTGAGGTTTATTTATCAGATATTCATGGGGAAAAGGACTGTGACCTTAGGACTGGAAGTTTAAAGGTATATAGGTGCTAGAGGCCGAACATCTAAATATTGGCATTTTGCAGCTAAGTGGCTATATGTCATTTTATGTGCTAGTGGAAGGCTGAAGTCCTCATGACAACTCCTTACCTTCTGATGCTAATGCAAATACAGATTTTGGCATACAGACCTTCACTGGTATTTATCCACCTGTTTTCCACTCAGGTAGATTATTTCAGAAATCCATGGGCATCTACGTACATCCTGAGTTGCCTGTATGACTTGAAAGTCTCAGGTCAGTGGGGTATCAAAGAAGCCTCTTGATCTCAAACCAGTGTGAGCAAAGTACTCAAGAGTGAGCTTCTGGCAAACCAAGATGTGGTCGGATGGCAAAGGCTCAGGCTGTGCCTGCGGAGCACGTGGCAGGACTGCATAGAGATAGCCGGGATAGCGCTGAGCGATGGAGATGAGATGTCAGAAGCAGCAGATGATCAGGATAACCAGCACAGGCAAAAAGACCTCCTAAAGTTCAGCTTCTGGTAGCCGCATCAGCTCATTGAAGGGTGTAGCTGTTGGCATGTGGAACGTGGTCGGCAAGGTGTCAAAGCAACAGCAGCAACGCCTACGCCGAGGTCATACTTCATTGTCGCTGCCACAGGGTGGTAATTTTACAAAAAGAAACAGCTGATATATCCATTTCTCATTTTCCATGGATGGATTATCTAATCTGTAGGTAAATCAAGGGCAAAGAGCCAGCGTGGACCTGTCAGGACTTAGCTCAGCTGCCACGGTGTGTGAACACAGCTCCACTGCTTCCAGAAGCCCAGCAGTGGTGCAGCCCTGTCCACGCTGCATCCACCTGAACTCTCCCAGCCTGGTTGGCTCCGCTCGGGGCCAAGGGCGCTGCCAGCTGGCTGGCACATTTCTGCACCACTGCCTGTGATCTAACCCGGCATCCTGGGAATGAGCATCCCGGGAACCGCGGAGAAGAAACACTGAGTGAGCAGAAAAAGAAAAACTATCTAGGTTTGGCATTATCCAGGGTATTCAGCCTCTCATTATCGTGTGTAATGGAGAGGTAAAGAGTATCTAAACAAAACACTGAGGAGGGCACTGTCTGTCTCTTTTTATCACAACATTTCTGAGTCCTGCTGCCTGTGCTGTTTCCTGACAGAAGCAATTTCCAGCCACCCAAGACCTGGCAACGCGAAGTGTAGGAGCAAGAGGTGAGCCACGTTGTGTGGTTCCACTTCGGTGCTGGGATGTGCCAGAGGCAAAGATCTGTTTGCAGGAGAGGTGACTGTGCAGTCAGGAAGCCACTAGTTTGAAGACAATACGTATTGAACACGATTGTCTAGGGGATGGACAAATGCTCCGTATCTGTATGTGTTCATGTCTCCCACCATTGCTTCTAGTCAGGGGCCTCCCCTTGAGTTTTCTGCTGACTGGTAATACTGTTTGTGGTGGTAGTTTTTAAGTTTTACTATACTGTATTTTCATTTGCTTGTTAGTTAAAGTAGGAATTAGCAGGATCCATTGAAAATATTACTAAATGAATGAATGTACGCTTAGGGCAGGTGACAAATTTCAGGGGAGATAGTCTTTACTATTGCATGACATTGATATGCACATACACATACGTAGCTAGTAATGCATATTACAGCCTTACTCCACCACAGATTCAGTAACTCCTATCAGTAGAATATTTTAGCAAAATTGCTGCTCTATTCATTTCCAAGTGGGTAGCACTGACACACAGATTACCTTTGTTTCGACTGTACTATGAAGCCTGAAAGCAAAGGAACACAGACCTCTAACCTATCCCATGAAAGTCTTAATGTCGCAGCTAACGAACAAGACCGGAGAGTTGAAATACTTTGGTTTCAAAGAGTTTGAGAAGGTCCTTCATTTTTGAGGAAAATTTAGTGACCACAGTGAATTATGGTCTACTCAGATATGAACTTCACTCTGGAAAATAAAACATCAGAGAGAGATATATGTGTAAGCAGTGTCATCATGGACAGAGGAGATACTGACTAAGTAAGGAGATTTGGTGTTTTCAGAGTTAACAGCAGACCTGGAAGACCAGGCACTTGCTGATGGACCTTAGTCACAGACCCTTAAATAGATCTTCATTTCCAAAACATCTATCATGCAAAATTTTCAAGGTACACAGTTTTTGTTTAGAAAATACTGCTTTGGATAACAGCTGGGTAAAGGCTATATTGAGTGGCAGTTGGAAATCTGATTTCAATGAAGGGAAGATCACTACATGTAATTTAATCCTCATTACAAATCTGACTTCAACATTTTTTAACAAAGCTTTTGTTTACAATATAACTAGTGGGCTTACATATTTCAGCCAACACAAAAATATAAGATCTCTCATGTTTCCCTCCCTCTGTGCGCAGTGATGCACAGGTAAATGAAATAGGGGAAACCTCACTTATTTGGAAATGGCAAATAAATTAGTATGTTCTGGGTTTGAGGCTCACCAAATGGTATGGCCCCTGATCTAAAGGCAGGCAATTAATGACTGTATACAACTGTTAAGGCACCATCAGAAACAGGTGTAGTTTTGCACCCAGGTGTCCAAATTCAGTCCAAGTTCATTACTGACTTGGCCCCTAATTTTTTGATCATAGCTGGCCATTCTACAGTGATTTACATGAACAGCCCAAACTTCTGTAGAAAGAGGAAATGAGAAGGGTTTTACCATGTAGTAGGTTCATGTAGTAGCTCAACATCTAAGTGAGAGCAGAGGATGGTGGCTTCAAAGGCCATAAATTGCTTTCAGGAGGTCTGTGCAGGGTGATGATGGGTACACACAGCCTGTGGAGCAGGTGTGTGCTGCAGCACAACCCATCCTGCTCCTCTCCTCAACACTCAGGAGGGACTCCTGGCTCCACCAGCATAGGCACAGGCAAAGAAAATCATCCTCCTTACAGAACAAGGTACGCCTGCAAAATTTTTAGAGAAATCTGAACTTTGGCTGGGAGATTTTTAGGGGGAAAGTGCAGAGTCTTCCACACGCTGGGTCTTTGTCCCACTTGTGGGACCCAGGGTGCACGCTGCTTTTCTGTTGTGGGGCTGCAGGCCACGCTTTTGAGACCATGAGATCGTTTGCTCTCCAGGTTGCGAAATGTATAAGGAATCAAAGTGATCCAGGGCTGAGATAACTGGCCTGTGCTCATTACGTGGAAATTGTTGAATGTATCCTCTCAGCTGACCACTGCAGGCTTAGTAAGACAGTACTATAAACTCCTGACTCTGCACATAAGGACGGAAAGCACAGACAAATTAAATGATTTCTGCAAGATCACACGTAGCTATGTCGCATCTAATCCCACCCAAGTGCTTCAACAGAAAGGAAAAATTACCCTCAAGCCTTTTCCACCACATACTACCACAGGAATCAGAAAGCAGAATCTTCTCCAAGTTATAACACCCCAAGATGTCATGCACAGCTTAGCAGTGCTGGTTCTGTTCAAAGGCAGTGTGGCTGTACATGTTAACTCCTAAAAAGTGGGAGTGGATTTCAAATTCCACAGTTTTTCTACATTTCTAAAACTCTGTGAAATAAGATATTAACTTATGCATTATTATACTAAAAGTAATCTGTGCTTGAAAACCATTTTTACATGAAGAAAACAAGGCAAGGGGAGAAGACAGTAGCAAGTTAAAAGTATAA